GAGTAGTGGTTGCTTCAAAGCAACACCTACCAGATTTTTACAGAAGTGAGTAAAAGCATCTCCTTGCCAGTTTGCCCGCTGCATCATTACTAGGAACAGAATGTTCAGCTGCTGAGGCTGCCAACCTAGGAAAGACCAGGGGGTGCAGCCTGGAGAAGGAAGAATATGGGGAGGAGAGGAAGTCCAGCAGGGATGCTGCATCAAAGAGCCGCCCCCTGAGAGCTGCTAGTTTCTCCAGGGGGACTGACCTCTGTAGTCTGGGGACTACTTGCAATTCTAGAAGAGTGCCAAGCCCCCCCCCCTGGAGGTTGGCAACCCTATCGACTGTCCCTCTGTGTGCAAATGCCCTTGGTGGTTAAGATGGCAACAGAAGCTAGAAAGCAGCAGCCATACTCTCAAGGAAAAGAGGAACCAAGTAACTTACCAGCTCATGATTGCCTGAAGGCATGCAAGCCGTGGCAGCCTAAAGGGTAAAAGAAAAAAGAGACCCAGCATTAGAATATTCTTGTGCAATCAGTAATGCAGAACAACAGCGTAAGCATCATCTGTGTAATATGACCACCCCTGGCACTCAGTCCTACAAATACCAAGCTGTTCCACCTGCACTAGGAAAGTGTTCCCTCCCCAGAACTCCAAACAGTCACTTGGGGAAAGTTTAAAGAGACTACAAGAGCCTGTCATTCAGGAAAGACCAGGAGTGTAACCAAGTGCAGGGTTCTGGCATTTTGAAGCAAAAAATGATTGATAGAGAGATGCTTAGCATGGGCACCGCAGAAATTCCCAGTCTTTGGATTTCAGATTGGACTTCTTTATTTGTAACCAGGGAGGGGGCAGCTTAGCAATAGAGAAACCAATCTGACCTAAAGAATTTTCTATCCTTGCCCAATGAAAAGGTAATGAGCAAAGGATATATTTAACAGCCTTTGTAGATAATTCCCTTAAAGCACTGGATGTTTTCCAGTTTAGTTCCACTCTTTCTTCACTGCAGAGGGGAAAACAAAATTGTTTGTTGGGGAGGACAAGCTCTTTAGTTCTATCTCTGGCATGAGACCAACACCTCAGGAAGGCTTGCAGATTACCCATACTCCAGTCTGTCTGTTTCAAGATGGAAATCTGGTCAAAGCCTACTAAGGATAATATTTAAATTCCAGATTTTGCAGCTCAGACCTTCGCACATAAGTCTTAATTGGCAGTAAAATGAATTTGTTGGAAAACAAACCTCCCTGAGCCCCATGCAGGGGAGGGCAGTCTACAAATCAAATCAATAAATAAAATTGTTAAACTCCAAGCTATATACTTGGAAATATCAACCTGTTAATAATGGATGAAAGACCAGATAGCTTGCCAATCAGGGATCAACATGTATTGCTCAAGAACCCGGGGGGGGGGGGCAACAATTAAGAACCATATGTGGACACTTTTGTTTCAAACCATTAGTCAGTGTAGAGCTGATATAGTGCAACGTACTACAGATGTTGCCAGATCAGTGTTTTACAAGAGAGACCAATACAGACCAAGAATCTCTGTTGTGTGTGGGGTCCAGTCCTTGGTATTGTTCTGGAATAACAGGCAAATGTAGTATTCTATCAGTCTTCTAAGTTAGATATTTTCAGTGCTGTTTGTGTTCATTTATTTATTTATGCTTTAGATTTATAGATCACCCAATCCCTGAGTTCATAGGGCTCACTGCGATGAACAATGATAAGATAAAATAAAATACAAGTCCTATGAGGAAAGGTTGAAGGAGCTGGGTATGTTTAGCCTGAAGAGATGACTAAGAGGTGATATGATAACCATCTTCAAGTACTTGAAGGGCTGTCACATAGAGGATGGTACAGAGTTGTTTTCTGTGGCCCCTGTCAGACCGCTGGTCAAGAGACTCTCAACAACACTTCCTTTGGCAGTGATTTGTTTATTGAGATATCTGCATGGTCCAGGTGGAACAGTACCATGTCAGAACTGAGGCTCACATGGGAAATTCCATAGTTATAGACAGTTCAAATCAACGTGCACCAAGCACACACTGCCAACCTCCTGCCTAAATTTCATGGTTCTAACCCCTGGGAATATATGGTCCCCTTATCTATGAAAGCGAGAAAAGCACAGCTTTGACTGTCCCTAGCATTCAGGGAGGTATCTTGGAGAAAAAGTTCCAGGTTCTAAAACCCCGCAGTTCACATACTCCAACACTCACACCCCCCCCAGGAATTTCCCATCCCCCAGACATCATTGCAAACTAGAGACAGAGTTTCACATTTGGCCCCCCCAAAAGCCCCTTTCTACCCCACTTGGACGGGTGCTTTTAAAGAAAACTTCATACAAGTTTAGGGGCTTTCACATGTTTGGCTTCCACCCATTCATTATGGCTCTCATCAAAGTCTCTTCACTTGATAAGGTAAAACAGTCGCCCCCATTTAAGTTTAGAGTCTAAGATTTCCTCCACCTCCTGGTGAGGTTCCCCGTCTACGATCAGGGGAGGGGGAGCTGGAGGACGAGGTTTCCACTTTGATGGGCCAGGATCCTTCTTCAAAAGACTAAAATGAAAAACAGGGTGGACGTTTCGTAAGTTCTTTGGTGATTCAACCTCCACAGTTACTTTGTTGATCAGGCGCTTTACTTTAAAAGGTTCCACATATTTCCACCCCAACTTCCTCCCTGGTTACAGCATCCTAAGGTGTTTTGTGGAGGTGTACACCAAATCCCCAGGCTTCATTTCCCACTCCAACCCTCTCCCTTTGTCAGGCTGGTGTTGATAGTCCTCTTTGGCCTTGGCCACAGTCTCTGAAGGACGGTCTACCCTTGGGTTACCAGGGACCACCAGGACTGGGCTCCATCAGTGCCAGGCTCCTCCGCATTCATGGTAAGGAGGGGCCCCCCATCACAGTCATGCACTGCTTTAAAGGGGAACATGCCAATGGAGCTGTGAACAGAATTACTGTAACTGTATTCCGCAAATGGGAGCAGGTCTACCTAGTTGTCCTGCTGATAGTTGACAAAGCACCTCAAGAACTGTTCCAGGATTTGGTTGGTCTGTTCTTTTTGGCCATCAGTTTCTGGGTGGTGAGTGCTACTTAATACCTGCTCCACCCCTAATAATTTCAACAGTTCCTTCCAAAACCTTGCTACAAACTGTGAGCCTCGGTCAGGGATCATTTTCCAGGGTAGGGTGTAGAGCCTAATTATGTGCTACATGAACATTTGGGCCAACTGACACACCGTGGGCAGCTGCTTAGAGAAGATGAAGTGTACCTCTTTCGAGAACAGATCCACCACTACCCAGATTACAGTTTTCCCATGGTTTGAGGGCAGGTCAGTGATTTTATGTGCGGGCTTATGCCTGATTGTGAGCCGCCCTGAGCCTGCGTAGTGGGAAGGGCGGGCTACAAATTTAATTTCTAAATAAAAATATAAATGAATAAATCCAGTCCCTGCACTGGGGCTGGAGGGCCCGCTGGCCCGGCTTGAGGGGGGGAGGAGGCATCTGCTCTGCTCTGGTTCTGCCTCCTCCTCTCTGTCACTTGGCTCTTTCTCCATGAGCTCCTGGACAACCTCCAGGAGGTTCCGCATCAGCATCTGGATGCCCTTCCGGAATTCCTCAACTTCTCCTCAGATCTCCACTCGGAAGCGTTCAACACTCACCACTCACAGTCTCTCAGGGTCATCACTGAACATACAAAAGGTTCTTCTCCATTCCAGGTCGGGGCGAGTCTTCTTGCGTCATTGCTCAGGCCAGGTCTTCCCACCTGCCTGGGCAGGGGAAAGCTTCCTTGAGCTTTGCAGCTTTCCCATGTCTTGTGGCCCCTGTCTTGGCGCACACAATGGTTGCGTTGTCACACTTCTGGTCATCTGGATTGGGTATCGGGATCTCAGTCATTGTGCCAGTCCCCATCTCCGTTGGGATTTCTTCGCCTTCACTTGTCAGCATGTTCTCCGGGTCACAGGATGGAGATGGCACTGGTCACCCTCACAGACGACCTCTGGAGGCATCTGGATTGGGGCAGATTGGCAGTGCTGATGCTGTTAGACCTGTCAGCTCCGTTCAACACGGTTGACCATCAGCTACTGATCCACCAGCTCACAGACACTGGGGTTCAGGGATTAACCTTGCAGTGGCTGGCTTCCTTTCCCAAGGTCGGGGACAAAGAGTGGCACTGGGGGATCAGCTGTCCTGAAGGCACCCATTGGAATGTGGAGTGCCCCAAGGGGCGGTGTTGTCTCCGATGCTTTTTAACTTCTATATGTGCCCTCTTGCCCAGATTGCCCAGAGGCATGGGCTGGGTTGTCACCAGTATGCAGATGATACCCAGCTCTATCTGTTGTTGGGTCGCCAGTCCAACTCCAAACCGGAAGATCTAGACTGGACGTTACAAGCCGTGGCTGGTTGGCTTTGACTGAGCTGGCTGAAATTGAATCCGATGAAGACGGAGGTCCTGTGCCTGAGCCACAGCTGTCCAACGGTGGGAATCCCGTTATCGACCTTTGATGGGGCGCCATTGGTGCCAGCGCCGACGGTTAGGAGTCTAGGAGTGCTCCTGGATGCCTCTTTAACAATGGAGGCTCAGGTAGCAGCCACTGCCAAGTCGGCCTTTTACCATCTTCAGCTGATTAGGCAGTTGTTTCCCTTCCTCAAACGCAGTGACTTGGCAACAGTGATCCAGAGGTCATTTCGGGGGGAACGCGGGGGAACGCAGTTCCCCCGGGTGAGGTACGGGGGCGGGGCACATGACAAAGCCCCACCCCCTGCTTTCGGCCACCCCGCTTCCGGCCCTCATTCAGCCAGGAGGAGGCAGGAGAAGAGGGAGGGTAAGTTGCTTCCTATACTGATGAAGTATGAGCTGTCTGTGAATATTCTGGAAATATCATATGATACTACTGCTTAGAAAGCTTTTTCTTTCTTCAGAAACTAGACAAATTCATGCAGGATATGGATAGCCAAGGCTAGCCCAATTCGTCAGATCTCAGAAGCTACGCTTGCTAATATTTGGATGGGAGTCCTCCAAGGAACACCAGGGTTGTGACGCGGAGGCAGATAATGGCAAACCACCTCTGAATGTCTCTTGCCTTGAAAACCTTATGAGATTGCCATATGTCAGCTGTGACTTGATGGCACTTTCCACAACATGACCCATGATAGTTAAATGGGACTTTCATTTCTAAAGGCAGAACAGCCCTGACCTACCTGAGGGACAGCCTTTCCTCATATGTACCCCAGAGAGCACTGCGATCAGGGACCCAGAATCGGCTGGTCCTCCCGAGCATTAAGGAGACCAGGCTGATGACAACTAGGGCCAAGGTTTTTTTGGTGGCAGCCCCACTCTGGTGGAATGAGCTCCCAGAGGAGTATAATAGGGGTGTGCAAAAATAAAATAATCATTTTTTCCAGTTTCATTATATCCTGTAGGGACCATTATAGTCAAAGGAGCCCATAGGAGAATCGATCTGGGTGTATCTGGGGCTCATGGG